TCTATGAGAGTGACCCTAGTGAAGTCTCCTAGTAATGGAGGGTACGGAGCCTAAACTGGCCATCTTCTGTAACCAGGCAAGGCTTCCAGCAGTGAGACTGGGACACCAAACCAGCCACAAAACCTGTACTGCCTACAAGATGTGCTGGGGTAATGGTGGCACAGAACTTGTGGGAGTGGCCAACCAATAACTGGTACTGGTCCAATTTGAGATTCACGCCATGAGAGGGAGCCCACACCTCACACTGCCTGGAGGGCCTGGAACCAGAACCTAGACAGCCCAGAGACTCAGGATAGAAACAAATACAGCCGGCAATAAATAAATAAATAAATAAATAAATAAATAAATAAATAAATAAATAAATAAATAAATAAATAAATAGAGTCAATAAAATAATTCCTACTAATATTCTGCTATACTCACTACACTCATAGATGCCCTAGTCCAGTTGTCGTCAGTGAGGCACCATCCAGCAACCAATGGGAACAGATGCAGAGACCCATAGCCACATACTAGGCAGAGCCAGGGAAACCCTGCAGAAGAGGGGGAGAAAAGACTGTAGGAGCCAGAGGGGCTGAGAACCCCAGGAGAACATGGCCCACAGAATCAACTAAGCAGGGCTCATAGGGGATCACAGAGACTAAGTGACAATCACAGACCCTGTATGGGTCTGAGCTAGGTTCTCTGCATATGATACGGTTGTGTAGCTTGATGTTTTTGTGGGACTCCTAAAAGTAGGAGTGTGTGTGGGATTACAGGTGTATGCCATTGCACCTGGCTCTAAACCAGTGGTTCTCCACCTTCCTAAGGCTGCGACCCTTTAATACAGTTCCTCATGTTGTGGTGACCCCACAACCATAAAATGATTTTCATTGCTACTTGATAACTGCAATTTTTCCACTGTTATAAATCATAATGTAAATATCTGGTATGCAGGATATCTGACACGTGACCCCTACAAAAGGGCCGTTTTACCCCCACATATAGATATCTGTATGTGTGTGTATATCACTTGAAAAGTGTCTATTACATATGAATCAACACAACTGGCAGCCTACAGTACTCCTTGTGGTAGAACTCAAGCCTCCTCAGACAGTGAAATCTTTTCAGACACTGTGTATTCTGCTCACTGAGCACAGAGGTAGCTGCTCAGGAAGAGGTTATAAAAGTTGCTCTGCAGAGGTTTTTGGCTTCCGCCCGAGATTATGCATGTTTACTGCTGAGAAGTGGCATGTGAAAATCCCCAGCTCTAGGCCACATGATGCGTTTAGCTCTGTCAGCATTAACCATTCACTCAAATTTGATATTTAAAAACAAAATTTCCTTTCTGTCATTTGTCCCTCCTTTTTAGATTTTAACTCATAATTCTAGAAACCCCAGTCTCCCAAGCTCTGCCAGACTCCACTTGCATAAAATGACACAGGATTTAGAAACGCAAGTACAGACTATCTAGGAAGCACACTGTTCTGGCATCAGAACTGTCTGTGGTCTGTTTCTGGGCACCAGCTGTATATTATGGCGAGCAATTTCTAAGTCACACTGTGAGGCACACCCGGCATTATGAACCACACAGCACTAACTCGTGTTTTGTCCATGAGAAGCACTGGTCCCCAGGATTTAAGGATGTATTTTAACTTCAGATATTTTTTCACTCTAAGTAATGACTTCCTAACTCTAATACATTGATCAGAGAAGTAGTAAACTTGGGCACAAAGTTAGGGGTTTATATAATAAGTAAATGTATCCTAGTATTCATAGTAACGAATGAGAGCTCAAACTGGGTCAGATTTATTGTTCTGTTTCCCATTGTTATTTAAGACGATGATTCGCCAGGGTTTAAACACATTATAAAACAGCCCTGGCTTTTCTTCTCATTTAAACTTTGACCCAGTCTCCTATCACCTTCATCTTTATAAACAAAAGCATTCTGATTCGTCTAAACTAAATCAGACAGTCTGTAACAAGGCAGCTCAAGTCTGTCTGGTTTCATTCTCATCAAACATCAGAATGGGACGAATACAAATGCAAACTTCTACTTTCACAAGTGAGGAACCGTGGTCTAGTGCTGAAATACGGTTTTATGATAGTAAAACGACTAAAAACTCAAGCTAGAGTGACCAAAACAGTGCTCTTCAAACTGCAGGTGTCAAACACGACTGTAATCAGCACATCATAAAAGTGGTAGAAAGTAACTAGACATTTAATGACTGTTTTTAAAGCTATATGCATATATTAGACGATAATGTAAGATGTATTAGTTAAAAAGTTTATAATTAGTTGCATGAGATACTAATTACTCGAATGGATTTAAAATTTGTATTTTAAGTTGGCTATTAAATCACTATAGTTAAATTTATGTTTATTATTTAAAATAAAAATCTCTGCATTAAACACTAAGGACTGCTATTCTAAAAGGCAACACATTAAAAAAATTCTCAGTGACAACAGTGACCTCTAGTGGATTCATTAAATTACGACACAGCCACAAGCCCAAGGGTTTAGAGATTAAACTCACAATGATGTGTCTAGAGAAGATAGGACATAGCTGTAACACCAACAAGCGTCAGACACAATAGAGGCTCTGGTTAGACCCGAGGCAACTGGAGGGTTTATGTTTAGACTCACCCTTCACTAATGTCCGTCAATCACACTGCTGAGTACAGTGAGTAGAATCATGGCCTCATTCAGTCTGTCATTTAGCTTATGGAATAGGCTCGATTTTTGAAAGGTTGCTTAACAAAGAAACTGGATTGACTCTATGGCTCTTTTAAGCTTTTGAGATTCTTTTTCAATTATCTTGTAGACCAACACCAGATCAAGGTCTGCTCAAAAGACCATGTGTACTGGGTTTATTCGTTGAGCTCGGTTAGCATGTGAACCGCCTCAGGCTCAACTCCCAGCAGGGTGGAAAGACACCTGACACCCCTCAGTACCTGAGAATGACCAAACTCTACCTGGCTCTTCTTCCTCTTGTGATCTGTTTTTCATGGATAAACAGTAGTGCCCTCTAATCCATGACGCCTAAAATCATGACCTTACACACACTGTATTCTCTTCCTGTGTGGCTAGTAAATGACTGACAGGTGAGCACGTGCACAGTGTGCTTACCCTGGGAAAAGGGATGATTCATGCCCTGGGCAAGGAGGACCAACATGGTGTGAGATTTTTATTGTGCTATTCAGAATGGTTTACAATTTAAAACTTATGAATTATTTCTGGAATCGTCCATCTAATATTTTCAGATTATAATTAATGTTGGTAACTGGAAAAATGGAAAGTGAAACAATGGCCAAGAGTCACTGTAGTTAGCCAACGTCCAATCCCCAACCTACTCTCGAGTTTTTCTTTTGTTTACAGCTTGTCATTAAGTAATGTCACAAAATTTATATTACAAATCAGTGAAGTTATTAAATACTGTTTCACTCACGAATTTACTCTGTCATCTCAATGACCACTAAATCCAAAGGTTGACATTCACGGTGCACAGGAGTATGCATGTGCGTGTATGTGTCTATACGCTGTAAATCAAGGTCTAGATTAGGGGAATAAAAGGCTATTTTCGCCTTTTCCCTTCACTAAAATGTAAGAAAGGTTATATAAACACGCTGAATCTTAATAACCACAAACATAAAGAAACATAGATTAAGGCTTCAAGTTATGAGGAAAAGTAGACAAAGATCAGCTAAGAGCTAGTCACTGTGTCTGAGGAAAATGTGTTTGGTGAATGCCTCCCCTTCCCCTCTTCCTTCCTTCCGCCTCTTTCTTTGAGACAGTGTCTCATGTAGACCAGGCTGGCCTGGGGCTGACTATGTAGACAAGGATGGCCTGGAGCTTGGGATCATCCTGCCTCCTCTGGTGAGTTTGGGGATTCCTGGCATGTACAATCAGGTCCAGTTTGGTAAATGGCTTTGAAGTAGATATAAGGATGCTACAAAGGGCTGAATTTAACAAGCAGAGAAGACATCTTTGGAAATAAAAGACAAAGATAAGGTAAGCTAACTGGTGTTCATCAGCGGGAGTGCACTGTGCTGGTGTTGGCCATCTCAGGGATAGCGGTTCTGGAGAGGGAAGGTAAGAACAGCAGTGTCAAGATGAGGCACGTGGGCGTCCCGCTGACCTTGGACAATGCTCAGTTTAAGGTCATGGCAGGTAGGCTTTGCACAGGAAGGATTACAGAGGAACGTGCCATCAAGGGTCTGTCACTGCTAACAACGAGCTGGTGGGATTTAGAGTGGTCTCCTATCACCTTCTTATGGGCGGAATTTAAGGTTTTGCCTGTTTGTCTTACAGCAATGTTCTTGCATCAATTGCATCTCTTTACACCTCAGTCATTACTCAATTAGCATCTGTCTTCACTGACCACAAACAACGGAACTTATGCCAGCATCTCTTCAAACACTCGTCATCCAGGATGATACTAATGTCACTAGGCCTTTGTCTGCGTTTCTATACAGTTTAGTTGGATAACGAGGACAGTTGTTGCTTTTATGAATATATTTCTTTAAATCTGAGTCAGTAAAACACTGCAAGTGTTTAATTATTTCCCGAAGAAAAGCCCTGTAATGACCAAACTTTTTAGCAAAAAGGTCCTTCTTTACTGGCTTTCTTTAAACTCAGGATACTGCAGTTACTGTAATAAACTCAGTTATCTTAGCAGCAAAGCAAGTTTAGCCAGATTCCCAAGAGCCAGGCTCTTCTGAAAAAAGTTACAGTTTAAATTCAGGATTGTTACAGTAACAAGATTCACGGACACCCTGGGCAAAGCAAGGGCCAGAATGCAAGTTCCAGTTTCGTGATAAAAATTACAACATTAGAGAAAGACATCTGCATGTAAGATTTTCCTTTTAAAAATCTTTAATAACTGTGCTTAAGATGTAGCGTTCTCCACAGCTAAGCTGTGTAAATGGTGACACTCTGCAAAGAACAAAGCCTGCTCCCAGCTGGGTTCAAGCAGGAAGGCTACTTGACCACTAGAGCAAACAAGACAAAGATTTAATTACCTCTCGTCCTCTCGAACCCATACTGGAGTTTTGGGAATTTGTGTTTCAAAAAATTTAGATGCTCTGTAACAAAAGTTGCTGCAGAAAGACTGAAAAAGAACATTTAAAATTAGTTTATTATTTTTCTACTTTGAAACATAGCCTACACAGAGAACATGAATGTACAGATGAAAGAATAAAACAAAATGCCAAAGGCTTTTACCACACAAGGTTGAGAGTAAAGGACAGCAACTTGGATGGCTTCTATGTGCCCTGGCCAACTACATCGCCTTCCATATTCCCCAGGGGTAAACAGCATCAGATACACTCTGTTCACCACTCCTTCTGGTCATCTCCTACCCTCTTATCCCCGTACAACACCTACCCACTTACCTACCCTACGTAACACCTACACACTGCACAGCCCTCATCTGCTTATCCCTGTAAAACATGCAGCTCTGCCATTGTTGAACTCGACCTAAGTGGGGTACGGCTCTGTGTTCATGTCTTATTTCTTTTCTTCAAAACCACATTCTTAAGATTCACCCAGGTTCTCATGCATTTTATCCTTTACCATTTTACCCTCACACCATTACATCCTAGGGCTGGGAGCACAACAGAGGCAGCACTTGCCTGGCCCTGCAAGGTCCTGGGGCCCATCCCTTTACCACAGAAAGTGAACGTGTTCCATGATGTATCTGTACGTTACTCTTTACTTGTGTACAATTGAACTGTTCGTGACCTTTTGCTATTACCTAGATGTTATAAACTTTAATTTCTTTGTTCTGAGATGGGGGTCTCACTATCTATCCCAGGCTGATGCAGAACTGTGAGGATCAGGGTGCCTATGCATTTGCGGCACTCCCACCCTCGCGACCTCCTGAATGCTGGGAGGGTGAGCCACCACAGCACCTTAATGAAAAACATTTTTAAAGACTATATTTAGTACTTTTACTTTTTAATTATGTAAATTAGTAAATGTGTACGTGTGTATGTAAGTGTATGCACACAGGCCATAACATGCATGCAGAGGTTAGGACAACTTGTGGAAATCAATGCTGTCTCTTCCAATCGGTAGTGAGCACTCTTACTACGTCATCTCACTGGCCCTTTTGGTTTGAGACAGGGCTTCATACAGTGTGAGCGAACTTCAAATTTTCTATGTAGTCGAGGGTGCTTTTGAACTTCTGACTCTCCTACCTCTGCCTTTTGAGCCCTAGAATCACAGACATATACCTGGCTGACTAATTTTCTCATTTGGTGTGGTGTATGTGTGTATACACAGACATGAGTGGTATATATGTGCCTCTGTGCGTGTGCGTGGGTCTGCGTGTGCACACAGGCGTGCCCTCATCTGTGCAGGCTAGAGGCTGACAGTGGCCATGTTCCTCAATCACTTTCATCTTATGTTTTGCGACAGGGTCTCTCACTGATTTTGAGCTTGGTGCTTTTGGCTCCGCTGGCTGGCTAGGGACCCACTGGATCTGCCTGTCTCCAACCCCCAGTGCTGGGGTTTGAACACATGGCACTTAAACCCGAGCCATCTTCCTGGTCCACTTTTTTTTTTTTTTTTTTTTTTAGGTTTTTTGAGACAGGGTTTCTCTGTGCAGCTTTGCGCCTTTCCTGGATCTTGCTCATCTAGACCAGGCTGGCCTTGAACTCACAAAGATCCGCCTGCCTCTGCCTCCCAAGTGCTGGGATTAAAGGCGTGCGCCACCACCGCCTGGCTCCTGGTCCACTTTTTAAAATACACACACCATTTGCTACCTTAGGCCTTCTTCCGTTTGTCTGAGACGGTGTTTTGCAGTGCAGCCCAGACGGCTTCCTCAATTGTCTGGCCTTGGCCTCCTGGGTGCGAGGACTGTAGACAATACCACCTGCTCTGTTACTTGTCACCACTTTTCAGTGCACAGCTCAGTGACATTAAGTTCACACTGTGTACAACTCTCCTCAGTATTTGTCTTTGGAATTCCTCTCGGCATACAAGACTGAAATTCTATATCCATGAAACAATAACTTCTTATTCCTACCTTCTTTGACAAGCACCATTCTGCTATAAATACAATAACTTTAGGAACTTGGATAAATAGTTTATACCATATTTGTCCTTTTGTGTTGGTTTATTTCACTTAATAACGTCTTCATAGTTCCTATGTCACTTTTTGAAGTTTTTAAAAATCATAATATTATTCCACTATATGCCTATACTCTATTTTATAGCTATGAATACTTTTATACATATACCCTGGTACACATGGCCCAGGAATTTCTTCAAGGCATATAACAAAGAATAAAAAGGCTCGGTCACAAAGAATGTGAGACGTTTCTGGGCTTGTAGCTTTACTCAGCATTAGCGAGCCTCTCTAACATGTAAGAGGTCTGAGCTCCAGCCTTCCCCACTCTGTGAGGCAAAACTGAGATTCCAAAACAGGCTCTCAGAACGGCTGTGATATCAGTCATTCCACCAGTGCCTTCTGAGTTGCACACCCACCTCACTGTGTGTCGACTGGCCTTTTCTCTATGAGAGAAAATGAGCGTGTTTTCACACCTTCACGAACCATTTACATCCAGTGCATAAAAATTTCCATTAGTTTGCCTTCCTTTTTCTTAGACTACGTGTTCTGGCCATGAATTTGCAAGAAATATAACTTCACACTTTCTACTTGTTTACTCTCTTTTTTTTTCTTTTGGTTTTCAAGACAGGGTTTCTCTGTGTAGTCTTGGCTGTCCTGGAACTCACTTTGTAGACCAGGCTGGCTCGAACTCACAGAGATCCGCCTGCCTCTGCCTCCCGAGTGCTGGGATGAAAGGGATGCGCCACCACACCTGGCTTTGTTTTCTCATTTTTTAATGAACAAAAGTTCTAAATTTTAAGAAGGAAAGTTTGTCAGCTTTTCATACTTTTCTAATTTTCTGTCCAAGTTTATATTCTCCCAGACAGTCTTGAGAGAGGTCTGCCTTCTATGTACAGGTCTATCCACCCACTCTGTATATGGACTGGGATGAGAATCTTGAGAGAGGTCTGCCTTCTATGTACAGGTCTATCCACCCACTCTGTATATGGACTGGGACAAGTCAGTTCTCACGTTTGGACAACTGACTGTGCCACCTCCAGCTACTGAAAAACCCATCCTTTCTCCACTCACCTCTGATACTCCTGTCACCATATATCAAGGGTTCATATATGTGATGAATCTGCCCTGGCTCATCCTTCTTATCCTGGTTTACTTGCCTATATTTATACCAACATGTACTTCATGTTTTTAAATGTTCAAATCTTTTTGGGGGGAGGGAGTTAGCCCAGAGAAGCCTCAAACTTGCTATACAGCCGAGGATGGCTGGGTCCCTGACTCTCCTGCCTCCATCATGCCTTGCTTGAATTCCTACTAAAAGCTCAAGCAAGAAATTTTCTTAGTACCTTAATTTTAAATACAAACAATTTGTTAATGCAGTTATTTTCTAACAGAGAAATTTTAAAGTAAGATTTAAAGTTCCATTTAATGTCATTTAAAAATTAACCGCTACCTTAAACAGCTTTTGAACTTACCTTTCTTTCAGTAATATCATAGACTTTATTGGTTTTGGTAGAAATTTTATATTTCTGTTTCGGTATCTAAAGAAAAATAAAGTATAATTTACTAAAGAATTTTAAGGAACATAAGCTTTATGTCATATACAATTAAGTCATCTATAGTTAATACTTTTGGCCAATCCAAGTTATTAGTTCATGACCTCAGGCTTTACTTCCCACTCTTTCTACAACATGTTTTGTAAAAACTAATGAACACACTGAAGAGAAGAGTACTTACAACTCCTAGCTTCTTCTGACATAAAGGATAGCCACAGAGTTTGATGATGGACCGCTCATCCACAACATCGCTATAGTGAGCCGGTGTGATGAACATCCCCTGGAGTGAAATGAAAGGGCGTTTCCCAGCAGATTAGTGGAACTGACTTCACAAGTGAAGTCAGAATTAGAGGAGCACATGAAGGAAAAGTATTTCAATAAGTGTCGGACATACAGTAACACTTAAAAAGGAAAGTTATTTTAAAAATTTCTGGGCCGGACGGTGGTGGCACTTGCCTTTAATCCCAGCACTCGGGAGGCAGAGCCAGGCAGATCTCTGTGAGTTCAAGGCTAGCCTGGTCTACAGAGTGAGATCCAGGACAGGCACCAAAACTACACAGAGAAACCCTGTCTCGGAAAAAAAAAAATCTGGGCTGACAAGATAGCTCTGAGGGTAAAGGTCTCTGCTGCCACACATGACAACCTGAGCTTCACCCCGGGACCCACAATGGCAGGACAGAACTGGATCCACTTGCATGCTGTGGTACATGTGGGTCATGGCATGTGTGCCCACCCCACTAGTAATAAAATAAAAATAAATTTAACTATACACTATATGTAACTACAGCCATCTTACTATGTATCTTATTAACTCATTTAAAGTCATTATAAAGCAAGAAATATGATAGTTAATCATTTTAAAATGCAAATTGTACATTATGTATCTAAGGACTAAAATGAAATCTAAAGATTTCGACAGTGCAAAGAAGTTTCATTTTGCATTGATTTGGGGGCTGCAGAGATGGATCAGTGGTTAGAAATGCTTACTGGTCTGCCAGCGGGCCTGAGTTTGGTTCCCAGTCACCCCTAACTGCTGGTGACTCCAGCACAGAGGAACTGATGCCATTTGGACTCCACGGGTCACTGAACGCATGTGGCATGCACGCACACATATGTACGTATACATTTGACGGTGCCGGAGAGACAGCTCAGTGGCTGGGAGCATTTGCTGCCCCTGCTGAGGTCCTGGGTTCGGGTCCTGGCACCCATGCTGGGCAGATCACAACCACCTGTGACACAGTTCTGAGGGATCTGACGGCTACTTCTAGACTCTGGGCACTGCACACTCATAGTGTACATACACACATGAAGAGATGTACAAGATACTCATATGCAAATAAATCTTCAAAGACTGAAGTGATATCTTAAATCTGGCAATCTGCCAACTTAATACATACACACTCCTTCAAGAAGTCCTCTGTGATGTTCTCTTCTAACAGCTGCTCAACGATGCGCACAGCTTTCCTCTCAAACTCCACCTTCCTTTGCACTGCGGCTTCCAGTTCTGCTCGTCTGAAATTTAATGAGCGAGTTAGACCACTGAAGACTTCTCCCACCTCCAGCACTCCATGCTCTAAAAGCCGACACTGACCTAACCTATCACTGTATGAATACAATCCATGGTTTTTAACCCTGCCACTTCTGATCCAACACCTTCCAAAGAGTAAGCAAACTATTCACTACAGTGTGTATACAGAAGCTGGCCACGAGGATTACTTCCAGGGTTAGGCACAAGGAAGCACTTCCAGACGCCTACAGAAAAGGAGGAGTCCATGTCCATAATCACAGCACTTGGGAGGTGGAGGTGGCTAGTGTGGACTACATAGGAAGAACCTGTATTTCAAAAGAGGATTTTTTTTCCTTTCAGTTTATAATTTTGTCATACATACCTGGCTTCCCCCCCTCCCCTGTGCCATGGGGCCAGGAATCAACAGATTGAAGAATAAAAAGGTAACTTGATTTCTGTTTTTCTTACAGAAATTTCTGTCAAGAGTTGAGGTTGTGACAACTCAGTTCAACACAGCAGTAACGTCTGGGGGAAAAGGCACTCACTCACCTTAATTACACACTTACTAAGTACCTATATTGATATGTGGTTGAGGAAGCTTTATCCTAGTGACCAGTGGGAGCCTGTCAGTCCTTTGTGGCCCTGCATACTTGGGCCGTAAAAGCAAGGCTACCTCAGTAAGCACCACTTCTGAAGTTCAGCCGTACAGTAGGACTGTGAGAGATGCCCAGGTCCCATGAGGGGCCATGCAAACCAGACCAGGAGAGCCCAGATGGAGTCACCGCCGTCGGGAGTGTTCTGGTGACATCGCATCTGCTGTCACCAGTGCGTACCTCTCCCTCTCACACCTGACCTGGGAACATTCTCACGTGTTCTTCCTACTTTCATTAACTTTTGAGACTTCAAACTCCAGTACTTTGCCTAGAGCAATATGCTCCGCCCCACACCCCACCTCCCACCCTTGCCCCATAACTTGGAAGTCTGGTACAGTTTTGCCAACAATTCATATCTCAGAATACATACATTAAAATGGGAATTTTGAAACTAAACACCTATTTTTTCCTACCCTTTGATCGAGATCATTTTAGTGTTATTTTGAGATACTAGGGATGGAACTCAGGGCCTTGTAGATGCTGAGCAAGCACTCTACTGCTGAGTTACAATCACTAACTCTATGAAGACACTTCTGTATCAAAGAAATATGAAAGATGTAAACACAGATTACAGTTCTTTATATTAAATATGAAAAGCTTCATGAAGAATTACTTTTCTCATTTTACACCCATCAATAAGTCATGTCAACTTGCTGGCTCAAATTATCAACCACCCTGACCTGAGTGACCCCTTGTCTTCTAACTGACAACTACCTACAGCTGCTTCCAGGGGTGCTGTCTCAGTGCTATCCCTTCCGTCACAAATGACGATAGTCAATATGGTTGTGCTGGCAGTTTTACATCAATTTGACACAAACTACAGTCACCTGAAGGAAGGAACCTCTGTAAGATTGGGCTGCAGGCAGGCCTATAGGGCATTTTCTTAATTAGTGACTGATGGGGAAGAGTCTAGCCCATTGTGGATAGGGCCACCCCCGAGGTTATGGTCCAGGGTTCTATAAGAAAGCAGGCTGAGCAAGCCATGCGAAGCAAGTCAGTAGGCAGCACCCTCCATGGCCTCTGCATCAGCTCCTGCCTCCCGGTTCCTGCACTGTTTGAGTTCCTGTCCTGACTTCCTTTGATGATGAACAATGATGTGGAAGTGTAAGCCAAATAAACCTTTCCTAACAAGTTGCTTTTGGTCATGGTGTTTCATCACAGCAATGGTACCTCTAAGACAGTGTATGGAGCAGTTCTCAAACATTTTGGTCTTGGATGCTTTTATATTCTTAAAATTAGAGCTTTTGTTCATATGGATAATATCGATCAATATTTACTATATTCAGATTAAAACAAATTTAAAATAATTTATTTCATTTGACAATATCAAGCTTGTCACGTTAACTTTTAAATGAATTCTATTAAATGAATGAACTGTTCTATATTTTTGCACATATTTTAGATGCCTGTCTTTTAGCTAGAGTGAATGTAAAGGTATTTTAAGTTAGAATTAATCAAGAGGGTCACTTGTTATCAATCACCATTTGATTATCTTATGGAATGCTTTGTCATCCTAGGTAATCTGCTCAAAATACATTTTAGCTGGAGTTGGGAGTACAGCTCGGTGGTAGAGTATTGGCCTAGGATGCTAAGTATTATGCTGCTCCACAGGGAAATACTTTCCAGCGCAGTTCTCGAATCCACCTAGCCCTAAACTAAAACTTACGTCCAATCACTTCCTTAAAGTTTGCTGTTCTGCACTTAGACAAATTCAGTTTCTCACTGTGACACGAGCAGAATTCTGCCTCCTTCCTTCCCCCTTGGAATGTCATACACCTTCCTACCTCAGGGTCTTCTTCATACATATTGTCACCCCTTGCTGAAATTCTGTCATCTCTGCTGTCTGCTTCACACCTACTATCTTAGGACTTTAGAGAAGCCTTGCCTTGAAAACCCACAGGCCATGCCCCTGCCGATCTAAATCATTAGTCCCTCCTCATATCTCAACCTTTTTCTTTATAGCACTTACTGCAATTTGTGAGGACATATTCATTTGTGCTAGTTTAACTGATATTTCTCAGTCCCAGTGAACTAACCCAAATACAGGCTATCTTGTATTTGGAAAGTATTTTAAAAGAAGAATTAGTGAATCTTAAAATGATGTCACAGATACTTTTAATCTCTTCACAGACAACTGTCCTAGAGATCTTTTGTGACATGAGAGAAGCCCCACACAGTAAAGGGTGGTTTTCACTGGTTTGTTTTTAAATCTGTACCTAATGTTACAAAGGAAACTCTGACATACACAACAATAAGCATGTACCTGAAGAGCTGGGACACACTCGATTATTCGGGAATGATGTGCCCACAGCTCTCTACAGGTGTTCACAACAGCTCCCAAAAGCCTGAGCCTCCAGTTTGCTCTTCTCAGAGCTGGAGGGTGTAACAGCTGTGAGAATTAATAGTGCTTCCTACATCTTCTCATAAATATCTTCTCCAAAAAGGGTATCCATTACTGTTTTTAACTGTTTGGGCTAGAGTACAGCTCCGTAGATGGAGAGCTTTTTCAGCATGTATGAAGCCCTAGTTTCAACTCCCAAATCCCAAGACCAAAAAATAAAACATCAAAACCAAAAAAATCTGATTCAATTAATGAGATCAAAGGAAAGTGAAATGCAGTTGTCCACGTGGTTATACCTTCTGGAAGCATCTTCTGGTTTGAGGGCACTTGTCTTTTTAGTACCTACAATTGAAGAGATAACAGTAAGTGTAAACACACTTGTGATGTAGCAGTCTTACCCAAATAACACACTGTGGACAGCTTTTCCTTTCTATCACACACTTCATTTTCAACTCCAACTTGTAAAAAGGGGTAAACAGGAAGGAAATCCCATTGTTTCTGTAAATTAACTACATTTCAGTTTTTCTTGACTAAAATCTCTCTTTGGGGACTGGCTTTTTTCATGTATCGTACCTACTTTAATCAAGTGCTTCTTTTAAAACACCCTGAACTGGGTAGCTTTAGGATAAACATTTCTCGGTCTCCCAAATGGTAGCTTGCCTAAAAAGAGGAGTCTGATACCTCAGAGACCCGGTACCAAAGCAGTCCAAAAGGAGGTCCAGGTCCAGTCCAAGGTTCAAGGCGGCTGAACACCACTGTTTCCTGGGGTCCCCAGCACAGCCCACGCAGCGGGAGATCCTGAAACACCTGAGCGAGTGTGGAATTCTCTCCCCAAGGCACCAGCACTGGGAAGCGGTCCGCCACCGGGAGTCCTCCCTCCCCGGGGGGCAGCCTCGGAAAGCACCCCGCGCGTGCGTACAACTCAAACCAGGGTCTCCGGGTCCACGCCTGGACGAGGCTCCTGTTCGTACCTGCAGCGTTCCGGTGGGCGCTGGAAGCCCGGGCACGGGGGCCCAGAGAGCGAGGAGCAGCAGGGTCAGCCATGGGAAATGCCGTCAGAAGGCGAGCGGCGGGCTTACGCAGCGGCCGCGAGGCTCCTCCCCACGCGTCGCGTCGCCCGGGCTGGGGGCGGGCCCAGGGAGGGCGGGGCGAGCGCCGGAGGGGCGGGGCCAGCCCAGGGGCGGGGCCAGGAGTGCGGCCTGCGCTGCCCGAGGTGGAGGAGAAAGCGCGCGGTCCGGCGGGTAGGTGGAGGCGCTGGGTCGGGGAGGTCCGGGCTGACCGGGGTCCGCGCAGCACGCGGCTCGCCAGCTAGGCCCCTCGAGGTGCTGGAGCCCGGACGCTCGGCCCAGCAGGAACCGGGAGGAGGGAGAAATGGCTGCCCCTCGGCTCAGCCCACAGGCAGGGTAGGGTGTGATTGTCCTATCCGCGCCTGCGGGGCAGCGATTCCAGCCCCCCGAGCCGCACGGTGTCCAGAGCACCACCGATGGCCTCGATGGCCTCGTCTTGGTGTGACTCGGTGATCTCACTGACCAGGATTGGTTACTTTGAGGGGGGCAGGTCCTGGGGAGAGCAGGGTGAAGGGCATCAGAATCTTCAACTTCTTTGGGTGACTTGTGTTGGATTTCAGTTTTTGTCAATGGGATATTTAAGACATTCCCTAATGATTATTAGAATTTTTATCTCAGGTCTATGGTTTGGATTTTTTTTTACTTTAATTTTAATTTTTATGAAAGGAATACTTTCTCCTTTTGAAAAAAGGTTCTTCTAGGAAGTTCTCTCTAGGGTTTTTTCTTTTTATTCTCTTCTCATTCTTTCAAAGTTATGCTCTTTAGGCAATACAGTAGGGGCTTTAAAATGCTTTATTAGGCTAGCACACTAACGTTCAATAATATCATTAAGCTATAAAACTTCACATTTTTTTCTAATAATTCAGAATGAAACAGTTTATGAAATGAATTTACATAATGTCACACAATTAACTGTTGTATTAGTTCATTTCAGCATCAAAACTAGGAAAAGTAATCAGGAATGGCTGTAGAGGAACTTCAGTGCGTAATAAAAAGATGTGTAAGTAATTCTCTGAAACACCTTAAAAATATGGGAAGGGCATAGATCACCTTTAATTGCTTTGTGGTCACTCATATTTACCTTATCTAATTCCTGCTTTTTTTTTTTTTTGACTTGTAAATAAACAGCATAAGATCAGGAAGGTAGACTGGATTGTGTGGTGTGGGTGTGTGTGTGTGTGTGTGTGTGTGTGTGTGTGTGTGTGTGTGAGAGAGAGAGAGAGAGAGAGAGAGAGAGAGAGAGAGAGAGAGAGAGAGAGAGAGAGAGAGACCTTTAATCCCACTACTTGGGAGGCAAAGGCAGGGGGATCTCTGTGAGTATGTAGAGGGTTGGGGTGGGGGGTGGATTGATTGCTCAGTGGTTAAGGGCAGTTATTGCTCTTGCAGAGGACCTGGGTTTATTTCTCCACACTCAGGCCCTCTTCTGGCTTCCATGGGCACCAGGCACACACCTACGTGTAGGCAAACACTCAGACATATAAAATAAAAAGAAATCCTAAATTTTTTTTGCCCCTGCCCCTGTGCACATCATGGAAGCCAGAGGTGTTGGATCCACCTAGAGCTATAGTTACAGGTGGTGTGTGAGCCACCTGACCTGGGTGCTGGGAATTCAACAGGTCCTCTGTAAGAGCATCGTATGCTCTTATCCACCAAGCCTTTAATTTTAGACCTGTGATTGCTTTCATAGGCTGTAATAGGAATCTTAACAGGTCTTATTAATAAAACAAACCTGGAGCCAGGTATTGGGGTGAATGCTGGAAGATCAGAGAAGCAGAACAAGCCACAGCCACTCGCCTTTCCAATTCCTCAGCTGATCCTGTTTCCTCAGACTGGATGCCTCTCAGCTGAACTGTGTTGCTCAAAAGCCTAAAAGCTTAACCAGGCTCTAGTTCCTGGTCCTCACATCTTATATACCTTTCTGCTTCCTGCCATCACTTCCTGGGATTAAAGTTGTGAGTCACCATGCCTGACTGTTTCCAGTGTGTTTCCAGTGTGGCTTTAAACTCACAGAGATCCGGATGATCTCTGCCTCCCAAGTGATAGGATTAAAGGCGTGTGTGCCACCATTTTCTAGCCTCTGTATCTAGTGGCTGTTCTGTTCTCTGACCCCAGATAAGTTTATTAGGGTGAATAATATTTTGGGGAACACAGTATCACCACAATAGGCTTCTTTGATACAGTAGGTTCAAGATCAATGAGCCGTACTGACTAGTGCTTACTACCACCATGCAGAGGGCGGGGCAAGAGTTCCCAGGTCAGCTTAAGCTTCATCATGAGAGCCTGTATCAAAAGCCAAAATAAGTAAAGCCAATTTTCATTCTGTATTCATGTGCACTTTCTAGAATTGAAGATTTCCTTTTTTTCCTAGAGACAAAATCAGGAAACCATTCATCCTGAGTCTGTGTTTGCATCTGTATTGTTTTTTAACAGCAAATCCTTGAAGAGCGTGATTTTAAAGAAGAGGATTTTGGCCTCTTCCAGCTAGCAGGCCAAAGATGCATCGACGACGGGCACATAGACCAGCTGCTGGAGGTTATTCAAGATGAAAAGAACAAGGCAAGCACAACCTGTGTGTCCACTCACAGTCTTTGTTTGGGAAGGAATAATCCATTGTTGCTGTTCCTCACTTACCCTCCTAGTTACTCTTCCGCTGCAGTGATGAGACACCTGACCAGGGCAACCTCGAGAAGCGAGCGTTCACTGGGGCTGGATCACACCTGGGGGCTGACAACCTGTCATTACCTGGTCTCTGAGGCAGAGTAGTCCCACAGTGGCTGTAGAGCTGCTGGTCTAGGTCCAGTGAAAGCTTAGAAACTGATAAGTTTCTGATAGTAGAGGAGGAGGCAGCAGCAGCAGCTGTTAGCCACACACTAGAGGAGGGGAAGGCGTGTCCTTCTGTCTCCTTTCTGTCTGTCTGGTGCCAACCAGTCCAAGCACTTAGGACACCCCTTCATGTGAGGCTCCCCGTTGATGTTAAAATCAACTATAACATACTTTTATAGTCCCCAATATAATCAATTTTGTGAGGTTTTGTTTTTGAGACAGATTCTTTTTTAGCCCATGCTGTCCTGGTATTCTTAAACTCACTATGATTTTTGTTGTTTGTTTGGGGTGTGTGTGTGTGTGTGTGTGTGTGTGTGTGTGTGTGTGTGTGTGTGTGTTATATGTATGTACATGTTTGTGTGAGTCTTGTCAAGGTCAGAAGTCGACACTGAGTGTTTCCTCCATCACTTCCCGTCTTTTGAAACAAGGTCTCGCTAAACCCGGAGCTCATAGATTCATCTCGGCTGAGTGGCCAACAAACTCCAGGGATCTGCCTGTCTCTGCTTCCCCAGTGCCTGGATCACCAATGCGCAGCTTTTTGTGTGGGTTCTGGGGATCTGAACTTAGGTTCTCACTTGTGCAGCAAGTACTTGATCAACTAAACCATCTCTCTGGTCCCTCACTCAGTATTTTTAAATTTTCTTGATTTTCCCAATCATATTTTCAAAGGATAACTTCTGATAATACTTTTAGTTGCTATCAATACTAAAATTACTAATCTTTATGTTTATGCCAGATGCTTTCCATATATTGCCTTATTTAGCACTGCTATTAAGTTCATCTTGTAATATCTACAACTGTAAGCTACTTAAAAGGCAGAGGGGGGAGAACTACTTGAGCACACAAATTCAAGACCACCTGGGCAATATGATGGGACTCTTATTTCAACAGAAGAAAACAATCACTTCATAGATAAGAAGCAATCACTGAAAGACACCTCAGCTTTTATGTGACATCCAGGGTTCAGACTTTTGGAGCTTTTGGCTCCTGTGCTGGATTTGTACTTACAAGAAGGTTTTGTTGTTACTATTTTTTGTTGTTTTGAGACAGGGTGGCCTCAAATTTGCTGTTTCTTTTTTTTTTTTTTTTTAGTTTTTCCGAGACAAGGTTTCTCTGCGTAGCTTTGCGCCTTTCCTGGATCTCGCTCAGTAGACCAGGCTGGCCTTGAACTCACAGAGATCCACCTGGCTCTGCCTCCCGAGTGCTGGGATTAAAGGTGTGCACCACCACTGCCTGGCGAATTTGCTGTTTCTTATTCTCCTATCTCCACTGGGATTATAGATGCATGCCACTACGTCTGGTTTTCATGGTGCTGGGGACTGAGCCCAGAGCATTGTGCTGGCTAGGCAAGCACTACCAACTGAGCTGTGTCGCCAGACCTACAAGAAAGTTGGGACAGATATTGATTATGGGGGATAAGCACAGGTGCGTCATAAACAATGACTGATTGGTTGGTTGGTTTTTCTATTGTTTGGTGTTTGTATCTGCAGTATGCAGATGTGATCTCAACAAAAAAGCAGCCTAAGTCGAAGAGAAAGCTTGCAGGATGAAGGCAAGGAGGTTGACTTTGAGAAATAAGATTTTGATTTCAGTATGGAAATAGGAGATTCGGATGTAGGTTTGTATGCGACTCTTCAAGGTTAGGTCATAAAAGCATAAAGGGCAGGGGAGATTTTGAGTTCACAAGAGGCAGAAAAGAGGCCTGGGATCTCATCTTCTAAAAGGTTTTGTATAAAGAGTGTGATGTGTGCCGGGCGGTGGTGGCGCACACCTTTAATCCCAGCACTCGGGAGGCAGAGCCAGGCGGATCTCTGTGAGTTCGAGGCCAGCCTGGGCTACCAAGTGAGTTCCAGGAAAGGCGCAAAGCTACACAGAGAAACCCTGTCTCAGAAAAAAAAAAAAAAAAAAAAAGAGTGTGACGTGCATGTGTGTGAATCCATGCTTATATATGCGAATGTGGACATAGGCATGCCATGGTGAGAGTGTGAGGTGCATGTGTGCATCCATGTTCATGCATGTGAATGTGGACATAGGCATGCCATGGTGAGAGTATAATATGCATGTGTGTGTAT